CGGCCCCAGTCCTCAGTCACTAATGACCACGATCTCAGGACAAGTTGAGGTTTTCCGCCTGGGAATCCAGTTTCAGTCACTATCAGTGGGTGTTTGTATCTACAATATGAATCACAGGCATCTGAGAAGCTGATAAAAACACTAAACGTACCCACAAACACATCCAGAAACCATCGGATCTGACGTCTAACAAGGCTGAGTAAGCAAAAGTTCAGAGGTGCAAAAATATAATACGGAGACTCTCATCCCTAAGATAACAGCGGCGAAACTATATGCAAAGTACAATGAAACTGAGGGTTTAGAAACCCCCAGATACACCCGCAGACGCACGGAGACCAGCGTGCGCCAGGGCGGAGCACCCAAGTACTGCCCGGCGTGCTCGTGGATGTGGAAATGTGGATCTGTGTGGGACACGAGTATCCTCACACGCTCGTGATCCTCCCAACGGCCTACTGCTCGAGAAAGGGAACTCAGGGAGACGGAAGGGAGGTAGCGTGATGGGGGACAGCCACCTGTTAGGTCACCTGAGCTGGGGGGAGGGACGGCGTGAGGTCAGCCAGGGCTGTAGCTGGCTGGGGAGAAGTTGGATCTGCACAGGAAGCCATAGATGGAGAACTGGGTTCTGCTCAGCAGGCCCAGAGCAGCAAGAGACCCCTCCCAGCCCAAGAGGAAGCAGCAAACCCTTTCCCCTGCGAGCCCCCCAGGGCCGGCCCTTCAGCCCAGTCTGTTCCCAAAGGCTGCCTGTCTCCTTGGGACCTGGCCTCTCATATCAGGCCCATGTCACGCCCAGCCTGGGATCAGGGCCTTGAGTCCTAAGCCACCTGTCCTTAAGTGTTGGTAAGCAACTCTGCTTCTCGGCCTTGGGTTCCTAAGGTGAAGGTGCCTGAAAAGGCCTGCTCCCCAGGTCCATTCCGGGCCCTTGATGAGACATCTGCGGCAACACTACACACGCTGCCCAGAGCCTACATGCCAGCAGAGTCGCCCTCTCCCCTGTTCCCAGGGACAGAGAAGGACCCGCTCTCCACTTCTCGGCCCTCTCCAAAGGGCCACAGCCGCTCACTCCTCCTAAACCTTTACCCCTCCAGCTGCTTCAGAATCTTCAGAAGTCCAGTGCCCACTCAGTCACCCCAAACCCTGCTCACCAGCATGAGCGGGCCTGGCAGAAGGAAGGGGGGGTGCCCGGATTTTACTACCAGGACTACCTCAAGGCCGTGCACAGCTGTAGGGCAGGCTGCTGCACCCTCAGCGGCCCTGGGGGAGGGCCGGGGGGGAGTAGAGGCTCCTGTGGGCCCGGTGCGGGTGCCTAAGGGGGTGGGAGCAGAGGCAGCCGTGTGGGCAAGTAAGGAAAGCGGGGCTGGGGGCGCTGAGCGCCGGGCAGGGGGACTAGACTGGCTCAAAGGCTCAGCGTTGTTGTGGGCAGGGAGCCAGAGGAACCTCCGTCTCCCAGGACCTGTTCCAAAGCCACCGGGCCCTCCCCCGAGGCCAGTCCTACAAATGCCACTCCTGTGCAAGGCCTGCACCCTGGGGTTATCCCCCAGCCGGCATCTGGATGGTCGGTTCTCTGCCGGTATCAGGTCCCTGGACACCAGACCTCCCACCTTCCTCTCATCCGGAGCTTATGACCAAGAACACATGAACCGGTAGGTTTAAAATCTTATCAGAAACACAGCCCAACTGCTCTCAGGGCCCCAGGACATCTGCTTCCCACCTACCGTGGCTCCAGGGCCCACAGACAGACAAGCAGGCCCAGAGGTTTCAAATCAGACCAGGGAGGCGTCTCCTCCACCCCCCAGAGGCCCACTTCCATGCCACACGCCGATGTGAGCATGCCCCGCATCCTCTGTGACTCCCACAAGACTCCCCAGCCCCTGCTGGGCCTCCGCCCCATCTTCCCTAGGATCTCACTCCGCCCTGGGTCAGGTGTGGGTGTCCCACGCACCTTCTTCCAAGCCTCACCCCTTCCCCCCGCATCTACTCCAGCATCTTCAGGCCTCAGTCTCCCAAACACGGGGTCCTCAGTCCGAGGAGAGGGGTCAGAGGTGGGCAGCCAGGGGAAAGGGTGGGCCATGATGTCACCTGGGAAACAAGAACGCCTATTCCGGTGTATTGAACCGCTGTATCAAGCAAGGAGGAAACACAGTATGAAAGGACTCTGAAGGCCATTCACAAAGTGCAAGACAAATTATTTTTAGGTCACTACATTGCCTTCACCCCCTCCCTGCCTCCCACATTGTAAGAACTGCACCTCAGGGTTGCCCCAGTAAGAAGAGCTCTGTGTGTTGGGGCGCCTGGGTGGCCAGTCGGTTAAGCGTCCGACTTCGGCTCAGGTCATGATCTCGCAGTTTGTGAGTTCAAGCCCCGCATCGGGCTCTGTGCTGACAGCTCAGATTCTGCTGCTTCCGATTCTGTGTCTCCCTCTCCCTCTGCCCCTTCCCTGCTCATGCTCTTTCTTTCTTAAAAAAAAAAAAAAAAGTTAAAAAAAGAACAGCTCCACGTAAAGACTTCAGGTTCCTTCCAGCAGCTACTCCTGGGAACCAGGTCCACGGACAGCCCGGGCAGCTGCCTTAGCCTATGATGCCTACCCACCTCCCCGAGGTCCACCCGAGGTCCAGGATCTCACTCCAGGCCAGTCTCAGAGCGCCCTCCTTCCGGGACCTCTGCCCCCACCTGCCCAACGTTGGCACCTTTGCAGGGACCGCCCTACCACCCCCACCTCCCTGCGCCCGTGCCTGTCCCTCACCTGAGGCATTCACAGCCCCAGTCTCTGCTCACCCATCTCCCTTTAGAAGAGATTCCTCAGCCCCAAGTCCAAGACCGGGAGCCTGCCAGGGCCGGGGGACCCCCATTACCCGATCTGACGGCAAGGGATGAAACTGACTACTGACAACACTTTGGACAGACGGCACATTTCCATTTATAAACACCTTTCTACCTCCCTGCTACATTCAAAACAGCTTGGAAAGAGCAAGGAGTGCCACCCCACTTGTCAAATGAGGAAAGCAAAGCCCTGAGGTGACACCCCTTGCCTCAAAGGGAGTTAGACCGCAGGTCTTCTGCACACCCCAACCACACTCTTCCCTCCCAGCCACCCCTGCACTAGGAAATCTTGGATTCCTCAGCTTAACCCTCACTAGGGGGCAAGTGCATGGGTCAGACCACCTCCACCAAGTTCTGCACTTTGTCCTGGGTGGCCCTTGCCTCTCCAAGGCTGGACAAGGGGTCTTCATCAGGCTTCTCAAAACCACCGCCACTTGTCACTACCACAGAGTGCAACTGTCACAATGCATAGGACAATAAGTTGCACCAGTGCTGTTTTTAATACCTGCAAGATCTCCTACTGCCCCACCTCAGTTCAGGCCTCCCTTTTCTTGCCCCAAAACTGTACTAGTTTCATGGCTTATCTTGCCCCTCCAATCCAGTCAGCACCCAGGACTCAAAAAATTTCCCTAATATTACAATGAGGACATACTACTACTTGGCTTCAAATATTCCAGTGGGTCCCCACCACTTTTAGGCTCAGCTAAAAATGTCTTGGCAAGATCATTTAGAACCTGGCCTCTGCTCACCTCTCCTCACTGCCTCCCAGCTCCCTACTGTCCCAACATGTGACTCCCTGACCTTGTCGCATCTTGACTCACCCATTACCAGTCTTGGAACATTCTTGCCCAGCTCTTCTCTGCCCAGCCTAGATCAGGGATCACTTTGACTAGGAAGCCTTTTAGGGTATGCCACCCTCAGTTAGGGGCCCTTCTGTTTGACCTGTGCACCCGCCCAACCCAAGACCATGTACATGGAATAATAATTCGTCTGGGGGCACCTGGGTGGCTCAGTTAAGCGACTGACTCTTGGTTTCAGCTCAGGTCATGATCTCACAGTTCATGGGTTCCAGCCCTGAGTGGAGCTCCTGCTTGGGATTCTCTCTTTCTCTCTCTCAAAATAAGTAAACATTAAAAAGCATAATAATAATTCATCTGTCTCCACAACAAGACTATAAAGATCTTAACATGGAGCATTTCTCTCTCCCCAACATCCAGCCCAAGGTCCCACGTGTTGTAAACCATTAATGAAATTTTTAATAAAAAACATTTACAATACAGAAATTTAAGTCCAAAACACATTAGAAGCACAGAATCACGGAGCCTTAGAGTTGAAAGGAGACTAATACCCTCTAATCTCTTCCTTTTACAGAAGAACAGGGACCCAAAAAGAACAGCTAACGGTGAAGCCTGGACATCAGTAAGCCTCAAGCGCTAGAGCTCTGACCACACCCAACCCCAGGTCTGGCTGACCAGCACACACTCCAGACTCCATCCCACCCAGAGGACTGGAGGAGGCAGCATCCCTGTTTCCTCCACGTTTACAGGGGAAGAAGCCCCCGGCTCCTACCCTCACCCCCACTGAGGTCTTGACTCCGGTGCCCATTTTCCTGGAACGGAGCCTCCCCAACACACACACAGGCACGCACGCACTTCCAACGTCTGTGGTGCTTGCCTCTTATTGTTCGCACTCCCAATCTCTATGCCCACTCATTTACTCATTTATTAAGCACCTACTCTGTGTCACTCTGCGGCGAGCACTGGGGGTGCTGCCCTCCAGAAGCTCGGTCTTTCGCACAGCTGACACAGCCCCCAAGCACCGGGACAGCGCTAGGGCAGAACGCGCCCGCCGGGAGGGACCAGGGATCAGCCCCCCGCTCCCCACCCGGTCCCTCCCGCTCTCACGGCCCCCGCCTGCTCTCTGCCCTGGCTTGCCGCCCCTCCCACGCACGACCCGGGTCCCTTTCCCCAGGGGCTGTGTGGGGGTGGGGAAAGTTCGGGGCCGCAGCGTCAGGGGCTCAGGGGACCCCGAGACCCCCGAGGCCGCCTCCAGCCTGAGGCTGGGTGGTGGGGCAGCGCGGGAGGAGCGGACCGGGCGCTGGCCCCTCAGCACGGTCCGTCCTTCCGCACGCCCCTCCCGCCCGGATTCGGAGGGACTCGGAGGGAGGAGACGGGAATAAATACCTTGACTTTGTGGTTAAGGTTAACGGGAACTGCCACCCCGGGGCGACTTGGGCACTGGGCTCCCCGGCCCCGCCAGTCCCGGGACAGGCGGGGCGGGCACCTGCTCTTGATTGGTTAATGAGCCTGGCCATCCCCAGGGCCGTCCCCCCGCCTGATTGGCTGAGCCGCTCAGATGACCAGCTCCGCCCTATCGGAGAAGCCCGCGGGGCGGCCCCTTTGTTCTCCTGAGCCAATAGCCCGCGTGGGCGGGCTGACCTCGGCGCCCGCGGGGCCTCCCGGGGTCCCGCGCCGCGTTAACGCTTTGGCCGCCGCCTCCGGACCCGTTTCCCAGGGCTCCGACGGGAAGCGGAGCGAGGGCGAGGCCGGGCGCTGGGGACCGGGCGGCGCCGCAGCACCCCGTTCCTCCCCTCTCTGGGCTCTCCCCCGCCTCCAGCCCCGCGGACGCGCTCTCCGATCCATCGGTCGTTCGGCAACTATCCGTCCGACTCAGGGACGCGCCCGCACCCTCTTGGTGCCGGGGTCTGGGGGAACAAGACGTACAACCCCCACGCTGACGCTCCCACTCGAGTGTGCGTGTGACATGGTGCTGGCACTTAGCACTACCGTACACCAAGTGCTAGGATGAGAAGCAGTTACTTGTCCTGCGCGACCCGAGAGACATTGCCCTCCGCGCCCCGCGCGGCCCCAGGCGCGTCGTGGGCGCGCGATGGACGACCCTGGGGTCTCTGCGAGGGATGAGACATCATTCAACCCAACCCCCTCGCTTTCTCGTCCAGAAACAGCGGTCTGAAGCGGTCACGTTCTTAGGTCGAGTGTCACTGCTGAGTTAGAGGCAGGGTCCCGACGGCCAAGGAGGGTCTTCTGTTCCTGGAGATCTTCAGGAAAGAGAATTTTCATTTCTACCCACACTAATTGGAAGCAAATGTTCCTTTATACCAATAAAGACTCCTGACCCTGCTACCTCAAGGCAGCTAGGTCAACTCCCACTGGCAGGATTCTCTCTGGAGCTGCTTAGAAACTGCGCTGGAGACACGAGGTTGTTAAAAACAGAAGCTGGCCTCTCTCTCTGAGACTTTTTACAAACCTACCGTTAAACGGGTGGACCTCATTCTAATTAGTCAACAGCTGCCTACTAAGCATTTGCCATGGCCCCAGCTATTGTTCAGCCCCACAACAATAGATAATGTTGGACTGATATTTTATCAGTTTTGCCACTAACTTCTGTGCAGTTTATACAAAAGATACTTTTCTGTCGCTGGACTTTGACTTCTCTGTAAACGAGTTAATAATTTCCTAGTTACATACCTACCTTCCTGGATTTCTGCAGGACCCAAATTGTTCTGTTGTCTATGGAAACATTTATAAAGCATAGAACCCTACACAGAGGCCAGATACCACTAGGCCATCAACCTTTTACAGAACCCCATTCACCCCTTTATTTTCTTGATTCCCTACGGAAGGTTTAACAAAGGCTTGTGGAATTCCAGTATACCAGTTCACATCTGCCACTGGATATGAGTGAGAAGAGCACTTCTCTCTGGACATGGTTCCTCCTCTACAGAGTGAAAGACTTCTTCCAGATTGACATTTCATGACCAAGAGTGTTTCAAGGACCGAAAGAATGAAGCACATCTGGGATCCTATTTACATTAAGGAAAAAAAGAGAGACGGAGCGCCTGGGTGGCTCTGTTGGTTAAGCCTCCCACTGCGGCTCAGGTCAGGATCTTGAGGTTTGGGAGTTCGAGCCCTACATCAGGCTCTCTGCTATCAGCACAGAGTCTGCTTCTGATCATCTGTCCCCCCCCCCCCCCCCGCTCTGCCCCTCCTCCATTTGCATATGCCCATGAGTGCACTCTCTCTCTCTCTCAAAAATAAATAAACATTTTAAAAAATGAAGAAAAAAAGAGACAGAACAGAATGGGGAGGGAGGGGGGAATGAAAGACTTACACATTTAACAAATATATGCCTGTATTATTAAATTTTGACAAGCTAATTTAGTACTTTTGTAACTGTAGAAGGAGAAGGAGGGAAATAAAACCGGACACCTCAGAAGAGAAGCATAGCTCTTGTCTGCAGCGCTGTGCCCTCCAACCTGAGACTTTCCTCCTTCAAGACTGCTGTCAGCATGCACCATGCTGAGCAAGGACTTGGGAACCACCGGGTCCCCCAAGGGACCCAGAAAGGACCCACAGACAAATTCACCCGGTTCCAGCTTTACCAGCCTCCTCAAGGCCACTTCTGGGGCTTTCCCCAAACTTTGGACCCCTCGTCACCATCTCTACCCCAAAGCAGGTGCAGCCCAGCACTAGTGGACATGTAGTGCCTGTCTCCCCCACATGCTAAGCATTTCCTTTAAAGGGGATGATTTTTCAGGGCACTCGGGTGGCTCAGTCAGTTAAGTGTCCAGCTTTGGCTCAGGTCATGATCTCGCAGTTGGCGAGTTCGAGCCCCGTATCGGGCTCTGTGCTGACGGCTTGGAGCTCAGAGCCTGGAGCCTGCTTCTGATTCTGTGTCTCCCTCTCTCTCTCTCTGCCCCTCCCCCACTTGTGTCTCTCTCAAACACAAATAAACATTAAATAAAATTTTTTTTAAATAAAAGTGATGATTTTTCAAAGTCAGGAGCCTTGGTCAGAGTCTCTCTCCCACATCCCCTTCCCCAACCGGCAAGTATAAACCCTAGATGCCCGAGGACCGTCTCCTGCTCCCTGCTCATCATCTCCAGACACTGACCTACTTTCCTGCCCCCCCCCCCACCAAAAAAGCATGGCTCCCCTTCCCTTGAAGCCCCAGGGTCCCCTAAAGAGAGATATTGAAAGTGAGGCATTCTTGATACAATGCTTCCAGTGTCTGAAAGATAATTTGCCATTAACTACACCGGTTTTTGAGTGGCTCCCTGCCCTCATAAACCAACATGAAACTTGGAAGTGATCTGCTTCCATCCCCCACACTTGGGAGTCCTACTCACCCCCATCCTCTGCCATTACTTGTGTACACATATACGTCCTCCCCATACTTAGGCCTCTTAGAGGTAAGGACAAGTCTTGGTAAACCCCTAGTTTCCATTACAACGTCAAGCACACGGTAGGCGCTTAATAATTATCTTCACTGAAAGCAGCAGCGTACTGAATTCACCCGACAAACACGTGGCAGTGGTCAGAAGCACAGGTGAAGGGACCAGACAGGTCTGGGTTTACATCGCCTCTGGTGATTATCAGTCATATGACCCTGAGCAAATGTTTTCATCCGTAGAAGGGCATCCACCACACAAGCATCACGTGAGATGATTTAGGTAAGACTCCTTTGCAAGGTGCCACTCACAGAAATATATTGTGGTGATTATTATGCGCCGCGTGCTAGGTGCGGGATCTGTGCAGGAATTACTAAAACTGGCAGGGAAAGGGCCTCCTGTTATGTGCCAAAAATAGGCACCCAAACTTGTATGAAACAGCCGGTGGGGGGAAGAGTGGCCGATGGGGGGGAAGAGCAGCCGGCCGGCCTGGAAGGCACTGCCGGACCTTCACATCAGCCCTTTAACTCCTGATAACCGGCACCCGACAAGTCTGACCCGACCCCACGGAAAGCTAACCCCCTGGAGAAACAGCCCCACCTGCGGGGTGTGCCTGGCCTCCCCCGGGAAGCACTGCAGGCAGGGTGCACAGGAGCTGGGGTGGGGCACTTCCTCTTTCCAACCGCCCCTCCCCAAAGCCCTCCCTCCTCAGGGCAGAGTGTGCTCCTCCTCTCTCAAATTACACAGCTCCTGGGAGAAAAGAACACTCAGCCACCAGCTCTAAAACCAAATCTTTATTCTCTAGTTTGAAAAGGAGGGTAAGCGGCTGTTCTGTTTCATTCCAGAGAGCAGAACAAGCCCCCAGTAGGTAGAAATTACAGGAAAGCAGATTCCATTCATTCTAAGGAAGAATCTCTAACAATTAGAATTATCCTACAGTAGGACCAGGGCCTCAGGAGGTGGGGTCTACCCGTCACTTAAGTGTTCAAGCCGAGACCGGGCATCCAAACCCTAGAAGTGCTGAAAAGGAACCTCGCCCCTGTCTTCCTTCCGGCTGGCCCTCCGTTATCAACGGGCCAGTCCTTTCCACCATGTTGAGTTCCAGAAGGAGTGGAGGGTTGGGGTGTTCAGACAAAAGCCTGGACACTGGGCTGCTGACTAGTCAGGGGTTGCTCGGAGCGCCGGGAGGGTGGTGCGCTGATCATGGGGAGGGACAGGGTGGAGCTGAGCGCTAACAGCAGATGGGCCTCTCTGAGTCCCGGTGCCTGTTCAGGGGCAGGAGGAGGGGGACGGGGGTGAGACAGGTTAGAGCAGCACGGCCTCACCTCTCAGTGCTGGAAAAGGCCCAGGTGCTGCCTAACAGGGCCAGCAGGTTCTCCCAGGTGTATCCAGCTGGTCCACTTTTCCTCCCAAGTGCTCTTTTACTAAGGACTGCACCACGCCTACTTCCAAAAAAAAAAAAAGAAAAAAAGAAAAAAAGAAACAAAAAGAACCAGCTGAAGGAATTCATAATAAAGGACAAGGACATTAAGGCGTTAACACCAGCGGGGAAGGGTCTTCCTGCCCCCTGGTGGCCCCTCCGGCCAGAGCGCTCTAAGAATAAGGTGGGGCTGCTATTGCTACTTTTCCAGGGCACAGGACGGTCAGGACAACCTTAGCTCACACCAGCTGGAGGCCGGGGTCCCTGCGGCCCGCCAGTGGTCTCTCTCTCTAACAGGGTCCCAGCACACTCGCTGCCTCTCCCACCCCTCGCCTACACCGGCAGCAACACAGGCCCCCTCCCCCGACGGCCCAGACCCCCCGGCAACGCTCCCCTGTGAAGGACTCCCGGGCCCCCTCGCCTCTCAGACATCATGCTTCTTCTGATGGGCCAGGAGCTTCTCCTCGTCGTCAAAGGTCTGGCCGCAGATGGCGCAGCAGAAGGCGCCGTCCCGGATGTGGCTCTTGCGGTGAGTGATGAGATTGGACTTCTGGCTGAAGCTGCGGTCGCAGTCGGGGCAGGCGTACGGGCGCTCGCCCGTGTGGATGCGCCGATGGGACACCAGGTTGGACTTCTGGCTGAAGGCCTTGCCGCAGTCCGGGCAGACGT